TTGCAAAATACAACTATTTCAGCCAAATTGATTTAAAAAGCGCTTATCACCAAGTGCCGATTTTAGAGACTGAACGAAAATATACAGCATTTGAAGCATGTGGGGCCCTATATCAATTTACTCGTATACCATTTGGAGTCACTAACGGCGTGGCTGCGTTTCAGAGAACGCTACAGTTCATAATTGAGGCTGAAAATCTTAGAGGCACCTTCTGTTATTTAGATGACGTGACTGTATGTGGCAAAAATAGAGACGAACACGATAAAAACTTGCAGCAATTTATGAATGCTGTGAAGAAATACAAACTTACGTTAAATGAGAAGAAATGCACTTTTGGATCAAAAAGTATAAGTCTATTAGGATATTACATTGAGAACAACGTTATCAAGCCAGACAAAGAACGATTAAAACCACTATTGGATCTCCCTACTCCAACAGATGCAGCCTCATTAAGACGTACTTTGGGTATGTTAGCTCACTATTCGAAGTGGATTTACAACTTTTCATACCTTATTAAGCCTTTGATTGATAACACACGATTCCCACTTAGTCAAGAAGCCATAAAATGTTTTAATATTTTAAAATTGGAAATAGCCAAAGCGTCCCTGACAGCTATTGACAATGATGAAACTTTTACAGTAGAAACCGATGCATCCGAGCACTCAATAGCTGCTACCCTTTCTCAAAATGGTCGCCCTGTAGCTTTCCTTTCAAGAACTTTGTCCAACACTGAACGCGGCCATTCATCTATAGAAAAAGAAGCAAGCGCAATTGTGGAAGCACTTCGTAAATGGCGCCACTATCTTATTGGAAGAAATTTTATTTTGATAACCGATCAGCAGTCTGTTGCTTTTATGTTCAATCAAAAACATTCAAGCAAAATAAAAAATGAAAAAATTGAACGGTGGCGCTTAGAACTGTCTTGCTATAAATACGACATAATTTATCGTCCAGGTCGACAAAATACTGTAGCTGATGCATTATCAAGAGTATGCGCTCTCATTAATCCGAATAAGCTGTATGAACTACATGACCAGCTGTGTCATCCCGGTGTTACCAGAATGGTACACTGGATAAGATCAAAGAATCTTCCATATTCTGTTGAAGAAATAAGATTAATGACAGCATCTTGTAAAGTATGTGCTGAGATAAAACCACGGTTCTGTCAATCAAAAGGCCAGTTGATAAAAGCTATTGCTCCATTCGAGAGAATAAATATCGATTTTAAAGGCCCACTCCCATCGAATACTCAAAACCGATACCTACTGACAATTATAGACGAGTACTCGAGGTTTCCGTTTGCGTATCCCTGCAGTGATTTATCGGCGGCTACAGTGATACGATGTTTGAAAGATCTTTTTCACACTTTCGGATTTCCATTATACGTACATTCCGATCGAGGTACGACTTTTTTATCAGAAGAGCTCAAAAATTTTCTAACGCCACTTGGAATAGCTACAAGTAGAACCACACCTTACAATCCTCAAGGAAATGGCCAAGTTGAACGACTAAATGGCACATTATGGAGAGCAATACAACTCAGTCTTCGTTCAAAGAATATGGACATTTCAAACTGGGAAAGCGTATTATCCAATGCGTTACACTCACTTCGGTCGCTTTTATGTACGACTACAAACGTCACTCCCCATGAAAGAATGTTCAATCATCCACGTCGTTCGCCTAATGGAAAATCTTTACCTACGTGGCTTATAAACTCTGGACCTGTACTCATAAAGAAAAATATAAGAACATCCAAATATGATCCACTTGTTGAAGAAGCAGAAGTTCTTCACGCAAATCCAACTTACTCGCATGTTCGTCTCTCTGATGGCCGAGAATGCACTGTATCCAATAGACAATTGGCGCCCCTTCCTATGATTCGGATTAGTGAAGAGGAAAATGAAAATGGCCAAGATAATGGAAATAATATTCGCCCTGATATGAATACAAACAATGAGCCAGTAGAACCTGTACAATCTAAACAAACCGAAAATGTTCAAAATAACAGTACAGAGCACGATACAGAAAATAGCGGACTGCGCCGTTCCACTCGTGACAGACGGCCTCCCTCATATCTGCGCGATTATGTTGGAACTTCAAGGGCGGGTGATTGTAGTATACTTACCTCTTTGTTATAATATACAACCTTATTCATAATTGCTATAAACGAAGATATCTGTCATCCTAAAAATATTATTACTTGTCAATGAATTTTGTCTTTATAATGTATGTAATCTTTTATGTTGAATAAAACCAAATATCCATTGGTTTTGACTTTCTTTATCATTGTCTATTGCTTAGACTTAGAAATAATATACGCCAGTATATTCTAAGTCTATGGTCTATTGTAAGATTTAAAAAAAGAATCTTCGCCTTCACCGACAGTGGATTGCTCCTGTGTTATCGTTTATTTAATGGTTCAAAATGGATTTTGATATATAAAAGTGATGATTCTGTACACATGCTGTATTAAATTTAATAAATCTAATACAGCATTTTATGTATTAATTTTAACTGAATGTTCCTAACACATAATCCCATAAAGACATAGCTAGTGATTTTGTGTAAACAAAGCACAGGCCTGAGTCTGCACATAGAGCGCCTTATTAATAAGTAAGCCTACTCCATGTTGTTTTACATACGTCGTGCATGACTTTGGCGGGACGTACAGCAAGATAGATAATGAATAAGGTGCTTAAACTTAGGAAAGTAAGTTAGTTTAGGATACGCCAGTATATATTTTTTTATCTATGAGCCTGTGCATGCCTGTAGAGAGTAATAGGGTTCTATGGTCACTTGTTAATATTATTTGATCGCACTGCACTTAAACTGCACTCATAATCTGTAGTCTTAGCACGTAGTGATTCACTTGTTTCGTTTAGGTTCTAGTAGATACTAATGTTGGTTTAAGCACCGAAGAATCGTTACCTCTAATATAAATCTTATCACAAGAGGTGATAACGATATGGTTATTGATATTTGGTAGTACTGATTAAATTAGTCTGTACTCTGTAGTCGTAACTGTAGTTAACTTGGAAATTGTTAAAATGAGATGAGTAGCAAATAGCTAACAGTAGGCTAGAAAGGTGGAAGGTAAGGTAACCCTGTCAAAATTTGATATAAAATACAGTTTTTAGAGTTACACTTGAAAAACGAAAATAATTGACTTGATAGGGGTTAAAGGAGGGCGATGAGGGAACGAGTGTCACCTTTCACTAATTTCTCCCGATTCTAGAGATAAGATACTACGAACTGTTTTATAATTATTCTTCTGGCTGCCACGTCACAGCTACGCTCACTCAACCCATGCGTTGTAGTCAATTATAACCTGTTCAAATCTGTACATTACAACGAAGCGACACTGTAAGCGCGTTACTAGAACTCACGTACACCAGTAGTTTTGTTGAATAATTTTAGAATATGGCGTAAATTAGTGACTGTATTGAGCGCAATATAACGCAGTATAAATTGTAATGATTTGTTAATAAAATTCTCTTTCAACGCTGGACGACGTCTTCGTTTCTACCGTCGAGACTCCTGGGAAGACCTCCCTCTCACTGCGGACAGGACACTTTTAGCCATCAGAACCTCTGATCAGTCTTGTGAACCTGCTTGACTGGTAGTGAGAGAACTTAGGTCCCATGGTGCAGATATTCTGCACTTATTTTGTTTATGTATGTATTTTTATATGTTGCTGCTAGGGTATTAGGGACTGCTAGGTATAGGGAACTTAGTTAGGGCCTCTAGGGTCTAATACTCCTACCATATTCATGTTCAGCCAGATAGTTCAGCTATGGAAGGGAAACTAGGTTAATATTTAAACAAACAACTACTTGACTGTACATTTTGGTCCTTCGACTCAGGTTCTTTTCATCTCGCTTGTCGTTGCATCTAAAATTAACAGTTGCAACAGGTGGACTGTACTAGACTGATAGATCAGTACTAAATAGTGCCTACAACGGGTTCTTGGACTGAATCAATCACGTGTCTCAGATTGATTTAAAAGTCAATTTTATAACGTCAATTTATCGATTTTTCGATTAGTCAATCTCAGATCAACACGCAGCTTAAATTAAAAAAATATTTTTTTTTTGTAAAAACTACCTATTTTGCGTAAAAATTCGCAAAAACATGTATCAGAGTATTGTCATACATCAATTTTAACTAAAATACCAACGAAATCACAGCAAAGGATTTTTATAACCGCAATAACTAAATTGACTTGGCCATCGCATGAAAACGCAATGTATCTCTCAGTAATACATATTATATTAAATTAGATTGTTTAGTGCGATTGCCAAGTCAATCTATTTACTTATAACATAAAAGATTTTTTTTTTAAATTTGAATCTTCTATGTCTGCTAGAAGTGCCTTAGAGATTTGATGATCGTTCAGTCAGTGAGTGATAAAATTAAGAAATTTTGACTAGTTATAATTCTTAAACTACTGGTTCAAATTGAATGAATTTTGAAATATACTATGTATATACAATGCCTACTTGGTTACTGAAAATTCAGGCTTCTAATTTTATCCACAACGAAGTTATAGGGTTTCGAAAATGACCTGAACTGCTTCGAGAAAAGGATGGTACGGCCGTGCCGCTTTTTTGCTCGACTTAGCGGGGGCACTGCCGTGCCCCCAGAAAAGTGGTAATTTTATACTCTTTGGTATAGAAGTTCATGCAAAGGAGAACCCAGAGAATGAAAATGAAAATTCACGTTTTAATTTTAACAAATGCTATTTATTTATTAATCCATCCACGTTGCGTAAAAAGTTTGTAGATAAATTGGTTAATGGCAACATTTATTGTTTATTGACAAGACGAGTGACAGTCGGCGGGGTCTAGTTCGATGGCAGCTTGATTGAGACAATTTAGAGGAAATAAATGACTCGATAGTAAGATTATATCCGCCTAACGCGTTTATGACTTGAAAATGTGGTTTATAAACAGTGTTTAAGATATTTTGATGCTTGTAAAAAGTGTAACACGTAGTTTAAAATGTATTTTCAATACACTATAGGAGCCATTTTTACTGTAATAATTTTGTGCGTTCATTGTGATAATGTTGCTAATTACAACGAAAGTATGAAGATTTACGGTAAGTGGAGCTTTAATTCTAACATCAGTTCCTTAAATTATGAATGAATTCTTTAGAAACGTGTAACGCCTATTGCGATTTTCATCTGTCAATCATGATCATCCATGCTATTACACGATTATAGTACCTTTTGAATTGCCCATTTCAAAGAAACAAAAGTAAATAAGTTTTGATTTATTCTGCAGTATAATCTACAAAGGAATAATTGTTCCATAACTGAATAAACTATTTTATATACAGTTGCTCTCAGACATACATTGTTAATTTAGCTGTTTTATCTCTATTATAATGGGGTAGCTTATTATACCATTCAATATGTTTCTATAAAAAAATATCCATTTATTTAAATATCCATTCACAAAACAACTAAGCCAATAAAATTTGTATTTTGTGTTAAATGTATCACATTTTCAGTTTTACTTATTGTTATTAAAAAATATTGAAATAACCTTTAATTAACACCTTTACGTATGGAAAACATTTAGGTACCTAATGTATAATAGTGGCAACTCTATACTGGCTAGTGTATTGTTGGGCAGGTCCCCGCTACATGGGCATGATGATGAAGGGAGTCTACATTCAATAATGGACATATGGGCTGTAATGAAAAAAATAAAATAATAAATGATGAATAGACATGAATAATTAGTAATAAATGTATTATATGGAAGTATGTTTCTTTAGAAACTCATATCTGCATTATTTAACATTGCTGACACACTTAAGGTCAAAATTTGTATAACACAGTAGACTCAACTCAAATTTTCACATTGTGTAGCTTAAGTTTAAAACCTGAGATGGTCTCTGGTCTGAAATGAAACCAGCCTTAAACATGCTTCTGTACTTGCTCAAATTGGTTACAAGAGGGCTAGCACTTTTCGCATCTACAAAACAAAAGACATAAGAAAACAGACTACTTAAGGGTCAATTTTTCAATCCTCACATAAAACGTCTAATAACTAAGTAACAAATAAAATTATTTGGCACTTACTGTTACAATATTATTAACTAGCTTTTGCCCGCTACTTCGTCTGCAGAGATATTATTCTTTAAACCATAGGTGATCCATCAATAATCGCACTTTGATAGTAAATTCCATTACCCTCATTAGGGATGATTTCCATGATCAAAGCTATCCTATTTCCTTCCCCAGGGCTTAAACTATCTTGATTTCATTTAAATCAGTTCAGAGGTTTAAGTGTGAAGAGCTCACGTGGTGATGATCTATGTTTTCCCCCACCTCACCTGCAGTACGTCCAATTGCCCTGCACAGACCGAACCACACAATTTTATCATTACATATTTTCATTACTTTTAAAATATTAGACCAAATTACGTAGTTTAAATGACAAATTTATCTACTTTGAACATCAAAAGCAATTAAAGTATTTATTTTGATAATATCCATTTGTTACTGCAAAATGTGCATTGGAAATAAAGTATCAAATTTTATTGTATTTATAGTTTACTATTTTGGTAATAATGGCTTACACATAAAATATAGATATATACTGTCACAAACTTTTTTGTAGAACTATTTAGGAGAAACAATTCCGCCACACATTATATTTGAGTAACTCTTACAGTTCTTGCACCACTAACTAAAATAGCTCGTAGATGACAGATTTTTTTCAGATTTACTTAATACCTATTGTTATATTTTGAACAATTTACACAATATCTTTTTTTATTATAACCTATGTTATTCTGATGTATGAGCTACATTATTGTAAAGTTTCGCTAAAATACATTCAGTAGTTTTTGCATGAAAGAGTAAGAAACATCCATACATCCTCATAAACTTTCACATTTCTAATATTAGTAGGATATTGCTTGTCTATTTTGCAATTGTGATTTATCTCAAATAGTTATCAGTAGCAATCCACCCCGGCTTCGCACGGGTGATTTCTGTATGTCGACAACAGTGCCAACTACCGGGTCCAACTGTGAATCTAAATTATTCACGACTCAAATTAATCACACACAAAATTTCATCAAAATTGGTCCAGCCATTTAGGGGGAGTTCCGTCACAGACAGAAGAATTATATATATAATTATACATATAAACATTCCTCTTGAAATATTCTGTCTATTAATGAAAACCACATCAAAAACCTTTGCATAATTTGAAAGATCTAAGTGTATGGAAGGCGGAAAGCTACTATGTAGAGAGCAATGTTAGCTTTTGGGAGGTGAAACAAAAATATTACAAAAACAAACAGAGCAAGACAAACTATTTCCATAACAAAGTGGAGAAAAAGTAACTGTCAAATGATATTTTAAGTTTGAGGCTGTTTCACTAGTAATAACTTTTTGAATATTGTGTTTTGAACTTGTGTTATTTTGATTGTAATTAATTAAATAACTGTGAATAAATCATAGATGTTTGTGAGTTTGGTCGAAAGATATAAACAAGTTTTAGAAAATAAAAAAAAAATTGATTTATGCCCAAATACTCAAATGCTACTCAATTTTAAGTTGCCCTTAAGTCTCATGCGGTCTCTATCACTTTAAGTTAAAGTGACTGTGACACCATGAGACTTAACAACATCTGAATAGCATTTGAGTATTTGGCCATTAGTGACAAACAAAGATAAGGAATCTGCATAGAAAAGCAGAATTCTCTAATACATGTGGAGTTACAACAAATATCCATTAATTGAAGAATTTAAAGTTTAAATGAAAGAGAATGAATAAAGTACAAAATAAATCTTCTCTGCTAAAACCTAGCTCAGATATGTAGATTCTGCTAGTTTTCACTGCAGCAACAACTTCCTGATACAGTTCTATGTTATTTGCACTACCCTTGTCCTAGGTAATGTCTATAAAGTAAGATCACAGGCACAGAATAAACGTACAGAAGTTGCACTCTTTTGATGTTGACTCCTTGCCGACATTTTAATAGCCTAGATAGTTATTATTAATCAGATAAATCACACACGCAAGCTAAATAAAACTTTATCGCTGTGTGCGAGTGTCTGTATTATTATTGCATCTTTTCTCCTTAATACGTCACAACGGACTTTCCGTGGTTGCTAAGGGCTGTTAATAAAGAGTAAAAAAATACATTGGTGAAATGGCAAGTTACTTAGATAAAGTACATATGCTGACTATAATTGACCATATTATCTACTATGTGAGTTCTGTGATGCCCAACGCATGCAACTTGCAAGGCCATTCGTCGGGAATCGCGATGCTTGGTTCGTATAGTTAGATAGCGTAAACAACAAATAAACCTGAAGAATTGTATATTCCTAACAGAAATATGATCGTAATCTACTTTGTTGAAAATCTTGTAAACAGTTTTAATTTCAGTATTTTGTGCTATTATAACTTAAAATATTTTAATTACAAAGACGAGTATAGGTATGTAAGTAGGTACTAGGGTAGTGAAGTAAATTTCAATTAAGTTATGTAATAAAGTACTTAGGTATACGTATTACTTCTGTAGTTAAATTATAACTTAATTATTTTTTCGCTATAAGTAACCTATCTAACAAAAAAAATGAAATAAATATACCTTTCATTATCCTTTGGTAACTGAAAATATGATATATCTGAATCCTTTTAATTGCTCATTAAGCATCCATCCCCGCAACAATTATAGTAAGAACGACGTTTTGCCATTATAATTTATCAAAAAGATAGGTAATATACATAATATATATTATTCTTAAATTACATTAAAACTCTTTCAACTATTTTACCTACAATTAAATATACTAAACACTAAACAAAAACTATTTCGATGAGTATTTCAACAAGTATTTAGAAAAAATTATTTACGTAAACAGCGTTAAAAAACTAACATTCAATCGCATGAGCGCGCTAGCCCCGACTGCGATCTACCCCTTGTGCAGCTTGCGATTGTAGGCAATTATTTCATGCAGGTAGCAAGAGTGACAGAGGCCTGTCAGAGGTTGGTGCTTGTGAAATTGTGTTTTAAAAGAAGTTTCAATATTTGACTATTGTTTACTCTGTAGTTAGACTGACCAGGGGCAAAGCTCCTAATATAAAAGGAGCTCCTATTTTGGTAGGGTTGACACAGGAGGGTAATATTAAAACAACAAAATGTTTATCAGCTTTTTATTATGTAACTATGATAAAATATTTTATTTTCATATTTTTTTAGTTGGATGGTAAATTTTAAATGTAGTATAAACTTTTTTTCTTAAATAATCTAATAGAAAGCATTTACATGGCATATACAAGCCTGCACATGTTTTAGTATAATAACTATCAATATTAACAATGATTATTACAAAATCAAAATATTTGTGAAATTTTTGCTCAAGAAATTCAACAAATGCAATAAATATATTGACATATATGTATGAGATATCTATCTACCACATTAAAAATAATAAATAATAGTCGAGTACTAATTACCCTTATTAGTTATGGGATAAAAAATTTATATATTTTTATTAAACTTAATTTTTTCAATGATATAATTTACTAACTTTGTTATAACAGTATAAAATTAAATCTAACTAAAAGATTACACACAATATAAAAAAAAAAAACTATAATAAAGAAGAACTAAAACTAAAAATTGAAATTGTCATACAGTCCTCCCCATGGTATCGTGCCAAGAACGCTGACTATGTTTCCTCGCTGAATGCAATTTTATTTTTACAGGTTTTGTTTGTTTTACAGGTTACATACAATTATTATATAATAAGTTATTAATGCAATATGAATATATGAAATATGAAACAAGTCAAATTTAGCTATGTAATTAATAATGATTTAAACTTTATTATCTATCCCATTGTCTGCTTATTATGAATATTGCTACATAACTGTCAGGCAAATTGATATAACTTTACCTAACCACGTTAATCACTTAAGACAATAAGTTAATAATGTACTAAATCTGAAATTAACAAGTGTAAAAATGTGAAAGAAGAGAAAACCACTTTGCAGTATCAAATTTTATTAGGGTGACAAACTACACTCACCATACTAAACACAGCAGTGTTAAGCTGCTATTTTA